ATTCTCCCCTAAGGTTAAACTTAATAACAGAATTGAATGTGCGCTCTAAAAAAATCCTTATAATTTGGGAGAATACTTACTCCTCTAAAATTTATTAAGCAAATTGATCTTTGACTATTTATATGAAATCGTTTTAATCATCGAGTTTATAAAAATGTGAAATTGGTTCCTGGACTTAATAAATTTGGGCTCAAACAATCCTTCGTAGGAATTATTTTAGCCCCAAAAAAAAAATCCTAATACCTAATTTGGCATTTCTATAAAATTCGGGAGTAAAATCTCATATAAATAGTTGGAGATATTTCTTATTGAAAAAAAATAAGGGTACCGCCCAATTTTATCTAAGGAATAAAAATACAATAAAAGATAATACAACACAACTCCTTCCAACACCAAACAAAAGGACAAATATTAAACAAAAGAAACCAGCAAAAATGACACCCAAAACAAAATTGAGGGCCACCGATTCACATCTTCACAGATATCAACAATTCCGAATGAGAACCAAAAGAACCATCTCCAACACTAACTATTAACAGCCTTCCAAAGAAAGGCTACTAAGAAAGCCATCAAAGCCATCAGCTTTCAGCTAGAACATAACTGAATCCATCAAACCAACCTCCAGAGAACAAGATAACAGTTCGAGACCATTCTGGCAGTTTAATCAAAATTATTTGGATCTCTTAAATTTGCATGCAAAGCCAAGAGATCATAGCATTTTGTTAAAGCGTTCATCCCATCCTTCCAATTTTTTTGGAAAGGAATCACCAGTATTTCTCATTCACTTCAGAACTTCTAGGTGCAATACTTCTGTTTTTATCGTTCATTAGTAGATGCAGCAAAATTCCTTAGCTTTCATCTTCCCTCACCCTAGGCACGGCTCCGAATTTCTCCACCAGAATCTCGACTACAACGGCCACAATGTCGTCGCAGGGAACAGCTTTCTTGTACGGCTCCCCGAGGTGCGAATCGCTACCAACTCTCCCACCTAAATATACATCTACTCCCTCACAAACCTTCCCCTCGGCATTGCGTGTCAAGCAGCCCATAAACCCTATGTCTGCAACCTGAACCTGGCCGCAGCTGTTTGGGCAACCGGTCCAGTGCATCCTCACCGGCCGCGCCGTCGCTACACGCCTATCTACCTCTTCCGTCACCCGCAGCGCCCTCGCTTTCGTCTCAATGATCGCCTGCCCGCAGAACTGGCTCCCTGTGCACGCCACAAGCCCGTTCATCAGAAGCGA